AAAAAAAAAAAACCTCCCTCCCTCATCAGTTTTTATGCTGGGATAGGGTGATAAACTAACAATTTTTTTTACGGGGCCTTAGGTCATACAATAGTTGTTCTATTACAAGAAAATAAAGGGGTCAATCATTTCTTTGAAATAATTGCTCATGTATTTCGTTGCAGCGTTATAAACAAGCACACAACCAAAACAAAACAAGGTAAAACATCAACTAAAGCGGACCAACACGATTTACGATCATATCGTTTAACTTCTTTTCTAACTTTTACGCCAAACAGTTTACTGGGCACGAAGAGCGAAAATAACATACTAATTTTTGTGGCTGTATACTCAATTGCACACACAATGAATGAAAAAATATTATATAGAAAGAGCTAGATAAGGTATTTATCTATCATTTGATTAAAAACCAATATGACCAACGCTAAAAAAATACAGGTTATGTACTAAATCGACCGATTTTGGCTTAATTAAGTGGACTACATTTGGCAAGTAATTTTAAAGCTAAAATCGGTCCGGCGGTCCGATTTTGGACGGGACCAGATTTTTCCCTGACATGACAGACCTACAAAATGTCAATTTGGTCGATACGAGGAACCCAAATGCCCTACTCGGCTTCATTCAAGCCCCTACCACTTCATTGCCTAGACCTAGCTAGCCCTACACACACACACCCTATTATCTTACCTACCTAGGCCTAGCTGGCCTTAGCCAGGCTAGTAGGCCTAGGCTAGCTAGGCCTAGCATAGCTAGCCTCTAGCCTAGGCCTATACCAGCATTGCATAAAATGCGCAAACCTACTTCTTTTAACTTTGTGAGCAAATCAGCTGCCGTCATTTCTACCTCCTCTTCTTCTTCATCTTCCTCCTCACTTAGGTTTTCATCAAAACTATCTGACTTATTTGCCATCGTTATTTCAGCTAACTTCTATTCTTGTTGTTTTACATTTCGCGCGAACTTGTGTGCGCTGACATTATGGAAGTTTGTCAATTGTATAAAGGTCATCTCCTGATGATTTAGTTTAGTTGTATTTTTGTATCTTTAATGTACTTCAAACAACTAAAATTTTACTTTTAAAAATGTATTTCTAAATATTAATGCTTTAAAATATATTTAAGACATTTTTATTTGCTTTAATTAGCGATAAAGCGTTGAGTTTTGAGAATTATTTTCAGTGGTTTGTACAGGCACTTCCCTCTATGAAAAAAAAATCACACACTCCAAGAAAAATCAACAAGAAGTAAAAAATGGCGTCGAGTCGAGTAAGAGGAACGATTTCGACGCCAAATACTGAAGGAATGTCAGATGCTAACAAGGAACTGTTTGAAGCTTGTCGAAATGGGGATATTGTGAGAGTTAAGAAAGTTGTAAATTCATCTAATGCTAACGCAAAAGATACAGCAGGACGCAAAAGTACACCCCTTCACTTCGCAGCAGGTTAGACTCGACAGTAGCTACCTAACTAATCACCGATCAAAACAACATGCAACAAAACACGGTATTCCAAAACACACTCCCCTCTCTAGCCTAGCCTAGGCGGTCCTTTCCTAGTAGTCTAGCTAGGCCGGGATCTTGGCCTATCACCACTCACTCTACCGATTCCTAGGTCCTAGAATATACAATTATGCCTAGGTTTTGTCTAGACGACATTCATCACTCACCAAGATTTTGTTTATTAATTTATTAAATAAAATATCCAGGCCCAGTTAATCTAAAGTTAACTTAGTTAGCCTTTTTTCTAGGCTAGGCTTAACCTAAAAATATCATGTTGTACAGTATGACTGAACTGAACCTCATTCATTCAATGATTTTATACTGGTGGTAAACTGTTAATTAATAATAGTATGCATTTTGGAAGGAGTATTCTAAATACAGACATCAGCCAGACTAAAGTAAAGTAAGGCCTACTCAGGGAATAGGCCTATATCCTCGCGCAAAAATTAGACCTCGAAATCTGTCCTCACATTTAGAAAAATAAGGGCCAATTTCTGCACAGATTTTACCAAAAATTAGGCTTTGACCTAATCTTAATAATAATATAACCAATGTGTTATAAAGCGCACCTATTTTCCCAGTGATTTTCCTCAAAATTTTTATTGGGTTTTGAGGCATCATCCACACAATTAAAATATTTTACAGTACAGAAGTAAGGAGAGTCATATTGAAGCTGGCCCTCAAAATAACAAAAATAAATACTGTATAGATAAGTTGTGAAAAGAGTAAAAACCATAAAAAACAAGCAAGCTAGGCTTACAGTGCATTATGGTTATTAGAATAGAATTATAATTGCCGTAGTTTACTGTATGCCTGCCATTAAAATGCCTTAATGTACACCAAGCCACAAATTGAGAGCTAAATTGTTACACAAAACAAAATAAATGTTGATTTGTCTTTTTGCAGGTTTTGGCAGAAAAGATGTTGTGGAACATTTATTATTATCTGGAGCAAATGTACATTCCCGTGATGATGGTGGACTGATCCCGCTACACAATGCTTGCTCGTTCGGCCACGCTGAAGTCGTCAGTCTTCTCTTGAAACATGGGGCTGATGCCAATTCCAGAGATAATTGGAATTACACTCCACTTCACGAGGCTGCGATAAAAGGAAAAGTTGATGTATGCATAGGTAAATATAATTAAATATTTCTAATTATGAAATTAGAAGGTTTTACCTTCAGGTATGAAGTTTAGCATGTTTGTTGTTAATGTTTTCACCATCTATTAATAGTTTCTTCTTTCAGGGTGTTTCCAGTTGTCTTTATGTACTGTATACGTACATTGTTGATTTTATTATGAAAACTACTGCACATAACACTATTATATTTTTAAAATTTACTTTTCAAAGACTAAATTTAAGATTAGGCGAGACTTTCTTATTCCTTGTTTCGCGTACTTATTTTTTTTTAAGATTATCTGAGGAGGGCGGAATAGAAATAAAAATAAAATTTTGTTTTCTTATTTAGTAAATAGTTTTGCCAAAGTCATCCAGAAGGAGGAGAAAATAAAAATAAAATGTTATTGGTGAATGTAAAATAGGATGTTTATATGGTTCAAATTTATATAATTATGAAGAAATACAGTATACATATCGTGTCTATGGAGACTTCAAAGCAGCGGAGGGCGTAATAAAATAAAATAAAAATTTTTTTTCTGAAATTTCTTTTTTTTTTGTGGCGGATAAACAAGGTATTAAAAATGTCTCGCCTTTTAAATAGTTAATTTAATGTTGAAATAAACGCTATTACCACCACCAGCAGTACTTACTGTACATATAATAGAATACTTAAGATTAATTAAAATTGAATTATATTCAATTATTTTGAATACTCTCTGAAAGTTTGATATACTGTGAACTATGGTTTTAATGAAGCTTTCAGTGATGTTGATGGCTTCCGTATTAACTGTATTTTCCAAATTAAATCTCTGTGAAATGTAATTTAAAATTATAAAATTAAATCCATATCTAGTATTGATCTCTAATTAAGAATGCAAGATGATTATTTTCCTTTATCTGTAGCATTCAAATGTTTGAGCATGGTATAATACGCCTACTACAGTATCAGTAATTATGAGGGATATCAGTAGCTTTCGGATAGTAAAGGTTATATTGTAGGTTTACAAAATATGAATAACGCATTCTTTGGGCATTATTTGGTACTGAATTATGTCTTATACTATATTGTTTTAGTCTCTTGCACAATATACTGTACAGTATTAATAAAAAAAGGTGCATTATTTTGTTTATTTTATATCCTTAGGCACATAGCCAAAGATTACCAATATCAACTTACAGTACTGTAGGCACTGTCCCATAACATAGGTGAAAATCCCTTCACATGACAAACATACACATGATGCTCTACATAAACTAAGTTTTATGAGACTTTTGGAGCAGAGTGGAGTTTGTTTTGTTAGAAAAAATAATGATTAGAGCATCTTACCCACCAAGCCATTCAACTCCACTCTACTCCATATGAATTTGTGTTTTAGCTATAGATGATTATAGTATGTTGTATATTTTTTAAATAATTGTACACTAAGCCCACTGAATTTTTTTTTCAATACTGTATTGTTAAACTCGGTAAGCCAGTAAAAATTTCTGACCAAATTTCCTTGAAACTTTAAATGTACTATTCTCATTATAAATTAGTCTATTAAAATATGCCATGCTTAAGCTATGCAATGATCTAGTTATACAACCAATAATGTGGAACAATAAGAAAATGAGACAAATATTCCATCTACCTGTACTTTTCAAGGTGACATACCTGTTGTGTTGCTATAGCAACATTTTTAAGGAGCTTTTAAGTATAATCATGTGACTACTGTATTAATGGTCTCATTGAAATTTTGGATAAAGTAACCAAATTTAATGTGCTTTAATCTATTAAACTAGATTTCACTAGTTAGGAGACATATATTCTGATTTGAATTTTAATCATCTGTGTGAGCCTCCAGGTAAAAAAAAAAGAAATGGACATTTAGTAAATTGATAAAAATAGGGGTTTTTTTTTTGTAGTATTTTGTTGTTAGATTTTCAGGTTTTTACTGTATGAACATTAGAGTATTTTCTTATTGAAGATTCTGCAATATGTATATATATATACATTTTATTTTTATTTTTATTATCATTACTTCATTACATTTATTATTTTTTTATTATTTTATTATTATTATTATTATTTTATTACTTTATTGTATTTTGCTCCTTTTTTTTTTGTAATTCATTGTAAAGCGCTAGTGACAACTTCGGTTCAACCGGCGCTACAGTATATAAATTTTAAAATCAATCTATCTATCTATCTATTTCTTCAACTCTAAAAAGGACATGCATCCTACTACAGTATATTTATTTACCGGTACACAATTTGTTCTTTACACTGGGTTACCTCTTTAATAGACTAGAGGGATTTGGCGATAAGCGTCACATGACCTAACTTTGGTGTTGGGTATAAACAATCCACTGACACAGTGGTGTTTTACATAGAGATGGCTATCACAGCCGTCCATTGTTTGTTGCTGTAAAGACCATCATAATTCCTAGTAAACTATACCAAATGGATTGGAAATTAAAATTTTATTAGGCCTAGGCCCCTACAGTACGGCATGGTTATTTATGCATGATGGTCTTTGACCCACGAACTACGCTGCGATGTTATTGCTAGCTAAGGTTTTTGAAGGATAACTTAAATTTCAAAGCATACTATACAATCCTTGGAGAACGCTAGGATAAATAAATAAACACTATTTTGAACAATTGTATTGCCTTTCCTAGACATTAGCTTTTCTTATACTATCGCACTGTAATGTTTTTCACGTATACCCAAGTTAAGTCGTGTGACGGGTTGTAAACAAACATCGCCGAAATCCTCTATTTTTCTATTCCCCAGAGGACTGCAGTACGCTTACTGTAAAACATTTAAACGCACATAACAACAAAAAACATTAATACAGAAGATAGATGAAAAAGAATTATCTGATCTGCTCCCCTTCCCTCCCCATTCCAGATTTGAGTACTCATAGAAAAGTAAATTACGCCACATGAGACTCACTTCTGTACGCACCTACTATACATTATTGAATGTTGAATCACTATGTAAATATAATTCAAACATACAATTGATATTATAACCTGAAAAAAGAATTTTTTTCTCCAATAAAATCAGCTCAAGGATAAAGATTATTTTGATACACATGATTCAGTTGACCTCATCTTGGCCATGCTGACACATTCATGTTGCACTAAAATGATTAATCACACCATGGTCAGACTTACTGCTATGTCAGATATGGTCAGATATTCAGCTTGTTAGGAGACATGTTACAGGCATGCCTTCAGTGAACAAATGTGTCTTTCCAGGCTCCCACTAAGGCGAAGTCACCAAAGCTCTAACTTCATTATGTCCAACAACTTCAAATGCAATAAATTTGTTTACCAATAAGCTTAAACATTTTTAATGCGCCTCTTTCCAAAATAAATAATCAAAAGTGCAGAAATTACTAGTGTACAGTATATGAAGTGGAAAAATATTAAATAATAATAAAAGACCTGAAGTTGATGCATGAACATAATAATTAAGAGAAATACATTAAACATCTTCTCTACTCTCCCTTTGTTCCATTTCCAATTTACTTTTACTGAAGAGCATAGATAAAATAATAATAATAAATAGTTTAATGAAAGAACAATTAAATGATAAAAGACCAGATGTTGATGCATGAACATAAAAACACTGATAAAAATTAAAAGAAATACATTGAATATCTAATCAATTCTCCCTCTTCTATTTCCAATTTACTGTTTATCTTGTCATGGATTCCCAGTGAAAAGGAAAATAAATGAAGATTGCATAACATCGGTTAATTATAGTCGTAATCCATAACAAATCAATATCAGATTGAATTCATCACTTCTAGCACAATAGACAGTGGAATTGCTTTTTTTTTTATTGATAAAGGGAGGGACTGTTTTTATTTGGCAAGAATATTGTAAATATTGTTTAAAAACTGGTTGACTTTTATTGTTTTTTAAAGAAAATGTATTCCCAGTCACAAAATTACATTGTTTTTTTTTTAATGATTTTGAAATAAATGATGCAAATGATGCAGCAAAAAAGTTTTTTTTTTCCCCGCATCATTATTTTTTATGTGGGCGAGAGTGATTAATCTAGCAATTTTTTCTGTGCCCTTAGCTGATCCCGGAATATATAGGTCAAGGGAGTGTCGCGATCCCCGACAACCATACTATAAACAATAAACCAAAGATAATCAGGCATTAGGACTTCAGATTGTAAAGGAATACATTTCATTGATGTGGTGCCATTCTTCCTATCCTGTTTATTTCAAATTCAACTTTATATAGTTGCTGATTTAATGCATATTAGGTAACCTTGGTAAAATGAGTTTAATTTTATCAAATCTTTTAAAAAGTGAAGTAGATACGTACTGTAAAAACAATGGCGGTGCCAGCAAAGGATGAGGGGTTAACTGGCAGACAAGCATTGACCTTCACCTTCACCTGACCATGGCGGTATTATTGAGAAGGAGATCACTTGGCAACAGATCCCTAAGACGCGACAAACCAATGTATTCTGACCTTTGGGTAAAGAAAGCCTGCTGAAAATTTAGTGGCAGGGAACACATTAGGCTTCAAAAGCATCATGTAAATGTTCTTCCTGCGCTGCGGCATCTCTGATCTCAGCCCATTTGCATAGCACTGCGTGTGCGTAGCCTTTTCGAATGATCTCCTCAATAATACCTCCGTGATCTGACTAAAATTGAAATGTTTTTTTTGCCATCCACCCGAAAATTATTGTTTGTTCTACTGTAATAAACATGATTTTACCATTTTAAACATAATAGTGTTCCTCCCCTTTCACCCTAATACTGGGTTTTAGTCTGTGACCCTGACCAGTGGTTATAAGGGATTCCTTGGTTCAAACCCCCTATCGAAAAATTTCTTGCCAACACACTAGGATATGTAGAATAAAACATGGGTGCACATAAAAAAAAACAAACTGGTACTTGCAGTAAACTGTATGTTTTGTTTGTTTTTTTAACACAAGATCTTGTTTGTTCTTTTATTTATAGTTAGTATACAAGTCGTGAGAATAGCTGGAGTTTCAAATAAAAAAAGTAAAAAAATTAATGCTAATTAATACCGAATGTTTCATCTTGCAGTATTATTACAAAATGGTGCTGATCCTAGCATCAGGAACACTGATGGCAAAACAGCACTGGATCTTGCCGATCCCGTGGCTAAGTCTGTGTTAACTGGTGACTATAAAAAGGATGAGCTATTGGAGGCGGCCCGCAGTGGCAACGAAGAGAAATTGATGATGCTGTTGACTCCTCTTAATGTTAATTGTCACGCTAGTGATGGAAGAAAGGTGAGTTAGGTCGATGAATTGCTTAATATACTGATTATTGCCTTATCGGTATCATTCAACAAAATTCAAAATGTTAGGCTACATTTACTGTACTATTATTTTATAGTTTTTTTCTCTATACAGTAGGACCTCGATTTTACGTACTTTAAGGGACCGGATGGCGTACATAAATTGGGGGATTCGTAAAATTGAGGTTGGGTTAAATTTCAGGTGACCTTTGACCTAATACTAACGTAACACTAACGAAGGATATTACCTACCTGTAGGCTAGACCTAGCCACTAGTCCTACGAATATAACCATGTGTTTAGTGTTCTTATTCATCACTTTACGATGTCAAAATAAAGTGTTCAAATAAAACCATGCGTCTAGTGTATTAATCATTACTTTATATCTTTTATTTAACTAAGGAACATGAAAATATTGTAAGATTCGTAAGGTATTTTTTATAATATTATCATTGACTTTTTCTGTAGTATTTAAATTTTGTTAAAGAGACAGTATCCCTGAATATCAGCTTTCCTCTGGAGCAGTATGAAGGGCTACTCTTTTTAAACAAAAAAAATTAATGAACTACTGTAAGTAATAAAGGTATTCTGTTATTTTAGTCCACACCACTCCACCTCGCAGCTGGTTACAACCGGACTAGGATTGTCCAGCTCATGTTGAACCATGGTGCTGATGTCCATGCAAAAGATAAGGGGTAAGTACTAAAAAAAAAATACTGATTATTGTAAAAGCTGTTGCTTGGGGTGAAAGCTTGTTCTGTATTTTAAAACCACACCTGCAACACCGTTTCATATGCATTTTCGTTTTTAAACAAATGTAATCATATCAGTTTCAATTTCGGTACTGCTCTTATTCATTAAGAATAAAGAAAATACTAGTCTAGTACTAGCCACCAATCTAATTTTAAGAATCAATCAATTTTAAGAAGCTGGGGATGCCACCTTGCCGGCTAACCCCTTTTAAATGCCTCTGCTGCTGAGCTATTAAATTGCTGCTTAATAAAAGACTTTGTTTTTTTTACCAAGTCTGTCTCTTATACACATCTAGATGTGTATAAGAGACAGGTGCATGTTAAAGAACCCAGTACACTCTTCGGAAAAGAGTAAGGGATTGTCTCCCGGTGTACTGCCCAATTCACCACCAGAAGGTCCCCACTGGAAGTAAGTCTCAGGACTTTCTGGGTTATCCTTAGTGTGTATGACACTGTAGAAATTCAATCCAATCCAATCTCACAAAGAAATCCAAAGAAATTGAGAACATTAAAACTATACCTGTTTCCTTTGCTCTACTAGTAGTGTTTAAACATTTTTAAAAATCAATGTTTTGCATTCAATACTACACTAAATTATGATAAACTGAGATGTATTCAATTTTTAAATCACTTTCATAAATCAGAGGGTTTTAGTAAAATGTGAAGTGGTAAAAATGGAGGGTATTTTTTTTGTCTTTCCGCTACCATACATATTTTTTGATATTATATCAAAATTGTGATAGGTTTATAAAAAAAACTAGGGTAGAAATTATAGATGGATTCCATAGTTATGTAAATATGATAATTATTCCAAGAATTAGAATGGAGTGTAAATATGACATTAGATTAAAGTTAAAAAGTTCAGCAAAATAGTGATTCCGCTACCATGAAATTGCCCTTCTGTATTTTAAAACCACACCTGCAACACCGTTTCATATGCATTTTCGTTTTTAAACAAATGTAATCATATCAGTTTCAATTTCGGTACTGCTCTTATTCATTAAGAATAAAGAAAATACTAGTCTAGTACTAGCCACCAATCTAATTTTAAGAATCAATCAATTTTAAGAAGCTGGGGATGCCACCTTGCCGGCTAACCCCTTTTAAATGCCTCTGCTGCTGAGCTATTAAATTGCTGCTTAATAAAAGACTTTGTTTTTTTTACCAAGTACTCCAACTTGTGTGTTTGACGATTATTAGAGCATGTACCTTGATGTTTGCTATGGCAACATAACTTGAAATGTTCTTTATATTGAATAAAACTGTTTTGATAGATATAGGCATTCACAATTGGGAAGTAACAATATCATGGACAATTGTTAATTTTGGAGTTTAATGACCCATCAATAGAAGAGTTCCAATGCTTTAACTGTTTTTTATTTTAGTTAGCTTGTATCTTTAGGCGAGACTTTTTTTTACCTTGTTAGCAAACCCGCTAACTGCAAATATTGATGATTTCGAATAAAAATAAAATTTTATTTTTGGCCAAGCGCACCAGCCGCCACAAAAAAGTGGAAATTTCAGAAAAAAAAAGAAGTTTTTCTTTATTTCTATTACATCCTCCACTGCCTTGAAATCTCCAAAGATATGTATATTTCTTCCTAATTATATAAATTTGAAGCATTTAACCATCCTATTTTACATTCACTAATATATGTTTGTTATACTTCAGTGGGCTTGTACCATTACATAATGCATGCTCCTATGGTCATTATGAAGTGACAGAATTGCTTATTAAGCACGGTGCTTGTGTTAACTCTATGGATCTTTGGCAGTTTACCCCCTTACATGAAGCAGCATCAAAATCAAGGTAAGTTGCTAATTGTCATTTTATCATCACGTAAATAATAACTTCAATTATAGATAAATTGAAGGAATTTTTTTTAAATAAAAAAAGCTGTTTTTTAAATAAAATTCATTACTTTGATTCACTCATTTATCTTTATATAAAGAATTCACAGCATAATAGGCCTATTCCAATAAAATATAATCAAAACAATCAACAATAATAAAACAAAAATTACAATTTAAGAAAAGAAGAATTTAAAACATCCAAAATATCATACATGGCACTGACTGTAGGCCTATATATTGCTTTGTGATTATATTTATTATTATTATTAGTATTATTATTATTATTGAAAAATTCATTCTAATTCAATATTAAATATTGGGTTGGTTTGTTCTTTTGATATTATTATTATTATTATTGTTAATGTTATTATTATTATTAATGTATTATTATTTATAAATTATATTGCAATTGTCATTTATGTCAAGCTTACTAAAGTAATTTAGTATTAAAGCCATCCTGTGTCTTGTATCAAGGCTGAATCGCAGTACAGGTTACAAGCAAAAACATTACATTCAAAGGGAATCGGCTACTGTAACTGACATCACAATCTGAACAAAATGGCACAGCAAAAATCGAACATTCCATGAATTTTACAAAATTGTGTTTGATTGATTAGAACTTTGAAATAGATGAATAAGTTAATACAATATTAGATGATAGGATGGAAAAACCTTTGCCCTTTCCAAAGGGGTCCATAATGATGCAAATTTCATTTTGTTTATTGTATTTGATGAGATAGCATTAACTTTAATTAAGGAGTATAAAACTGCAAGAGGTCAAACTGCCCTGATTTTGTATGCAGCAAAGTATGCAGGCAATGGAATGTTAAAAGTACTGCCACGAAATAGGGGCGCCCTACACATAATTTAGAAAATCGTACGCGTTGCTTGAATCCTTTAAAGGCCAAGGCCCTTCATGGAAGTACTTTTTGCGTTCCAACGAATCCCCGGCAGTCGGACCTCTTGCGCTTTTATACACTTTGCTATAATTAAACCTGAGCTTCGTTTACATGTTAAGCTTCTTCAAATTTTTTTTTTGATGATCATGCTTAGATCTATAATTGATTGATTGTGAGTGAATGCTTAGTCATTAGTACTTGAATGTTAACGAGTCAATGCTAATAAGTAATATTCGTTAATTAAATCAGAGGTCATCTTTGAGCTTCAAACCACATTGGCAATGATTCTATATATTGGTTTTAATTTGTAGAGTTGAAGTTTGTTCGTTATTATTAAGTCATGGTGCTGATCCGACCTTACTTAACTGTCATACTAAGTGTGCTTTAGATGCTGCCCCTACCAGAGAATTAGCAGACACTTTGCAGTGTGAGTAAACCTTTTATAGCTTCTGTTTGTCACATCTTTGAGGAATGGTTTCAAATGGCTGTATCATGTGGTAGTCAAATAATTTGTTAAATGATTATTGATCAATGTAATAATTTATTAGATCATATTAATTATCATTATTAGTATTTAAAATCCATATTCTTACACAGGTGTACCAAAAGCTTAATTATTGAAAATATTGATGTTTCAGATGAATTCCGTGGGTACCAGCTGTTAGAAGCTTGTGGTAATGCCGACCTGGCAAAAGTTAAAAAGAATCTAACAGTTGAATGTGTCAACTTCAAAAACACTATAAACCAAGAAACTCCTTTAGTAAGTTTCAAGAGAAAATATTTATACCATACTTGCATCAGATATCAATGAGAATGAAAGTTAATTGATATATTCCTGCTTTTGTTTATGGATATTTGTTTTGGGAAATGTGACAAAATGTAAAGGCATCAGGTTTCAAAGTAGATGGTCATAGGTCCGAACCCAATGCTGATCGCATTTCTTAAGGCAAGACATTTTATCTATGTTTGTCTTCTCTCAAGTCTGGTGTATTAGTGGATACTGTACCTGGTAGGATTAGAATAAGAATTGATATTTGTTTTATCACAGTGAGTGATTTGGAATGAAATGTATCTGTGCCGGATTTAACCAGGAATACTTCAATGGGAACAGAGGCGAAGCTAAGCTTAAATAACAATGTATGATATACATTGGATAATTATAGTGTTTTGCTTTTTTGGTTTGTTTTTTGTCTCCCATTGTGTTTCATTTCATTTTTTAGCATTGTTCTGTTGGATCTACTGGCTCTAAAAGAAAACAAGTGACAGAAGTGTTGATAAGAAAAGGTGCAAATTTAGTTGACAAGGACAGAGAGTAAGTGTCCCATTAAATCATATCAAATAAATTATTAATTAAAAAAAATAAATAAAAACAAATAAGAATAAAATTTTAATTACTAAAATTGTCAAGATGATAATTGTTGCTATACTTTAAAGATTGTTTGATGTTTTTCCTACAGTGGTCAAACTCCAATCCATGTAGCTTCCAGTAAGAATCATCATGATGTCCTTGAAATTCTACTTAAGAATGGAGCAAAGGTAGGAATTAGGATTCCTCAAACCCAAGTTAAGATGATCATAAATTTCTGAGAAAATCATATTAACCACATCCCGATTTAAAATCAAGGCGTTCTGTTTGCCGTTCAGATACTCTACCAACTAAGCTATGAGGCCAAGTAGTATACGCTCTTGGGTTTTCCCATTAGGATATGTTTTTTCTTAGGTATTGTGTAATATATAATGAATATTATAAAAGCACATGATAGTAACTTTGGCGATACACACACCACTGGTGATAAAGATTTTATTATATATATATTATTTATAAATATTATTATTTATTATTATTATTATTTTATAATATATCCCTTAAAAAAGATCATTATCATATTAAATTTCATTCTGAATTAGCAGTTAAAAGTTTGCTTCTTTTTTTTTTTTTTATACAGGTAAATTCTGTTGACAACCTAGGCCAAACTGCCCTGCACCGAGCAGCTCAGGCCGGCCATGTCCAAGCGTGTCATGTTTTACTAGCATTTGGTGCTGATGTGACTATTCCATCTCTGCAAGGCTTTACTGTCTCCCGTGTTGCAACAGAAAGCGTGCAAAAATTACTTCAAAGTAAGAATATTTATTTTTGTGGCTAATTTAAGAGTAATGTAAATTTTTTTTTTGTATGTTTTGGAATATTCTTTAAAGAACATTAAATAAAAATATTGAATTACTCATTTAACAAGGGACAAGTGAAAGATTGTTTTCTTGTCATTTGGCTCTGGTCCAATGAATGGGTTAAGCTATATAAAGCGACCCAAAAACTTTGGCTTAAACAATTTCTCCTATATTATCAGCTTATTCACCTGGATTTATGTTATATACAAGATTCCTGGAATGATTTTGACAAAACAACAATACTTTAAATTAGAGTTCAGAATGTGCAGTTCATACTAATCAAATTTTATATGACAAAACACTGTTGTATGCCCATATATAGTCATGATGTGATGTCATCATGACCATATTTAGGCATGTCATATGTTTTTGTCAAATAATATTTGATAGTCTGGACAGGAATATTGGAGAATTGTTTTTACACTTAGGTGAGATGCCATGGCAGACTCTTTTCTGTCAGACAGTGTTTGGTACAGTAATATAGGTATATGCTTGTTTTGGAAATATCTGATCAAATACATTATGTGTATATCCAAATCTTTATCAGTATCTTTTGGAAAGCCAATAAATGCGCACCTAAGCATCGTTTTTAATGGACTTCTCAATTTAACATGAAAGTTTTGAGTACAGCTAAGTTACCCTTGTTGTTGAGGCTTGAGTATAGTGTAACAAACATGATTTCGATTTTCATTCATCAGTAATTTATTTCAAAATCAGATACTTCACTTGGCCTCTTCCTGGCTAGGCTAAAGTAATAATTTAATTATTAATAATAATGATTAATGAAGTAATAATTAGTCAGAGGTCTTATTTATGATTGTATAAGCCTAATAATAAGGTGGCAGACATCTTTTTGAGCACAAATACACAACTCAGCATTGCTTCGTTGCCTAAAGTAGTCTCGAGTTGTTATAATACCTCTATCTGCCAAACAAAGTCTAAATAGGGCCAAGTTGACGTCGTTTCTGATGACAAGTGTAAAGTTGCTGACAAATAAGTTTTGAATTTCTCTTTGGATAGTTTGTACAAGAATTTATTTTCTACCTCTTAACCTTACCCAAAAGGTCATAATAGACACTTATTGCAAGTCATAATCCACTAAAGATACCGACAACATTTATTACTAATGACATCAATTGCCGAATTACATGGATCTGAGAAATGTTCTGCAGCAGGTTGACGAGTCACTAGTATTGACAGTCCTTCCTGTAATGTATCACGTAAATGTGTTCAACACCTTAACACCATATAAAATTTTATTTTAAACAAGTATTGCTTAGCAAAAAAATGAGATTGGTGTGGTTTTTGTTTTCATTTCAATTTATTTAGCATTCAACAATAAAAATACCGTTTTTTTTTAAACTAAAATTCAATAAAAAATTAAATATATAAAATACATATATAATGAGAGAGGCTAATTTTTTTACATCTTGTTTATATTTTGCCAAAGAAAGCAACAAAAAGATAGACACTATCAGAATATTACAGAGTAAAAAAAGTGCCTACTCATTACCATATCGAAGGATTAACTGTATAGAATATCGAGGGACTTCAACCCCATGACAGCAGTGATTAAACTCTTAAGTGATAGCATCAAATATTAACATCCATGAGGAGCTCATATTGTGTTCAGGATACACAACCTAATTGATGATGTGTCAACATATCGGATTCTAGTACGTGCGGAATATGCGATTTTGGAAATTTTTCTTGGAAAAAATAAAAATTTGGTTTACAAAATTAAAAAGAAAATAATGTCATTACGAACAATGTTGATCTAATAACGTCAATAATTTTCACAAAACCTTTTCCTCTTTTTTTTGAGGTTATTGAAAGATCATTGGTCAATGTACGCACGACTGTTGCTCTCAGCATACAAGCTTTTTGAGTACATGCAAATCCACGGTTCCACTGATATACACATGGTCCACTTATTGTTAGAATGTATTATTTAACAGGATGACTACAACACTATGTGTTGTGCGCAATGCAATTGAATCATGTAATGCAGTTACCTTACCAAATGCCTTGCATTGAGCAGGACAGTCTTGCATTTCAAAGTCATTTTTATCTTGTCTCAGTTTTTATGAAACACAAATTTTGGAAAATCTATGCGTGATCATGTTTCAAAATTTGGGAATTTTGACTTTGAATAAACCAAACACCTACTTAGGTCAAAATGCCCTGTATGAGTGGCTTATTATTCTTAAAAATTGTCTCATTTATCCATGGGGTCACTTATATACATGATACCAATCAAAAGACATTCGGTCATCATAAACACATAGTTACTTATTTATCCATAGTCTCACTTTTACATCATACCACTGAAAGTATTCTGGCTCCTCATCAAAAGTTTACTCCATGTTACAACTTATTTACAGGTCACATGGTCCCACTCATGTGTCCATGGTTTCTTTCCTTTAAACATGGTCGGAATTATTTACACATGCATATTTTTCAACCTAATGTCTAATATCTTGCTGTGTTAAACTAGTTCAAAGGGCAACGTATCACATGTAAAAAGTTGATCTTTAAATCGGATAGGATACAAATAAATCTCACGGGCAGCTCTCATAATATGCTAATCAACAGGGACAAAGACTTGTCACATGGAACCTAGAGTGTAATGGTCACAATTTTTCAGAATTATATTGTCATTTCCTACAAAAAGTAGACCAGTTCAAATATGTGGTTTTATAATCTTTTAGATAGTTTCCTTTTTATTAAAAAAAATATAACTTATGTAAATGTAAATCTTTTTAACCTATTTCCTCAATAAATTTTCATGAAATATTGATTGATAAAACATAAATTATGAATGGAATGAGATGAATCAACATGAATGAACACCATTCGATGACCTTAACAGCTAAATGTCATTTTAAGTTTTTGGTTTTGAATTATTATGCTAAAATAATAGCTAAGAAGGTCCAATAAAGCCCAATTTATTTTATCACCGTCTCTTCTTTGTACACCCTTGACCGACATATACTATACATGACAAATAAATTAATATAGTTTATTTCTATATGTGCGAAATGTTTCTAAATATGAAAATTATGTATATAATGTGTAAAATATGATATTTCTATGAATATGTTGTTTATCAGTAACTCTAACAATACATGCCTTTGGTTTTTAGAAAATAGAGAAAAAAATTACACATTTGAATTTCTTACTCTATATATAAAATTATAATAAGTTAGCTTTTAATTTGAAAATTAGAAAATATGTTCCTCACCAATTATAAAAATAAATTAAAAGATTTTGTAAGGAAAACACTCATAAAGTAATTTAATTTTTTGTCTAAGTTTATGCTTGTATTTGTATATTTATTATATATTTTTAATTATTTATTTCTTTAAAAAGCTGCTGAAGACCACACCCCATCGCTTAATACTAGCCCAGCAAGTGATGAAAATTATGAACTCCTTGAGGCGGCAAAGTCTGGGGATTTAGACACTTGTAAGGTGAGGTAAACCCTGAAACAAACAAGTATTGAATAAAAAAAGAAATATTAATAAATTAATTAAATTAAGTAGTTGTTGATATTTATATTTGTATTAAATTTGATGCAAACAGGAAGACAGGATTGTGAAGATGAAGTGATTATGAAGGATGTTATAAAAAGGAAGCATTTATTGAGAAATAATTTAATCAAAGTATCAAAGGATTACCATTCATAATACCCCAGCCTAAGTAGCTAATTTCATCATCCTAAGAGTCCTAACACACTTCCCTCACTGAGGATAAAATCTTTCTCCCTATGAAGGGCATCTTACTCCCTATGGAATATACCTCTCTCTCCCTGAAAATGCACCTCTTTTCCTAAGGAGTGCCTCCTAAGGATTGCACTTCCGTCCTTTAAGGAGATGGCTCACCTACCTCACTATTGAAACACACCTCTTTCCCTTAGATATGCACCTCTGTTGGGAATGTTTTATTTTGCTCCAATTCTTTTATTAATTTTCTGGATTTATTTCAGGTTCTAGTTTCTAAGACTTCACCAATTGTTAACTGTCGAGATATAGAAGGCAGGCATTCCACTCCTCTTCATTTTGCAGCAGGGTACAATCGAGTGGCAGTAGTTGAATTTCTCCTTCAACATGGTGCTGATGTTCATGCTAAAGATAAAGGGTGTGTTTACAAATACTATTTATGGTTATGGTTTTATATTTATATAGCACCTTCCACGATCGAAACCGTCTCAAGGCGCTTGAAAAATATATGTGAATAATGTATGGAAATAAATAAAACCATAAACCATAACCACTATTTCCATCTTGCTATACTATGTTGTGTTTTTTATAGTCTGTTATAATATTGAGTAATACTAATACAACATGCCAATTTTTCCAGTTACATAAAACATTGCTAAAATTATTGAAGTGACTCTTATTAAATGATTTATTTCAGGATTGAATACTAATTTCATTGAGATACGGGCCATATTTTCTTTATCCCACTTGATTTGAGCAGTGTATTTCTTTATCTCAAAAATTGATGAATAACCACATTTTTCATAACAATTTATCTAAAAACAAAATATAAAATGTCCATAGTATTATGAACATTGATTTAAATTAAAAAAAACAAAATAAATCAATATTTTCTCTTGGTTTTCCAGGGGCTTGGTTCCACTACATAATGCATGTTCCTATGGTCACTATGAAGTAACCGAGCTGCTTGTAAAACACGGTGCAGTGGTCAACGTTGCGGACCTGTGGAAGTTCACACCGCTTCATGAAGCAGCAGCGAAAGGCAAATATGAGATTTGCAAGCTTCTACTGAAGGTAAAAATCAATTTGTAGTTTGTATTTTTATCTGAATAATGTTTAAAGCTATCAAAGTCAAACTTACTGAGGAAGTAATTATAAGGTAATAAAAAGAATAGTGTTAGCCAAGCACAGTGACAATTGGAGAACAAGGTTGCATAGATTGTACTAAAGGCCTAGGCCTAATTCTAAGGTTCACGACCACAGTGGCATATCTAGGATTTTGAAATGGGTAGGCAGATGGGAAGGTTAAGTGAGAGGGCTCAAAGCTTAAGTGGGGAGGGTTAGCTGGCAAAATGAGGTTGTTCTTAACTACTTGAGAATAATTTTCTGCTTAGAACATTTTCAGTGGGTGGAGGGGAACCTTTGTTTTTTGGTTGGCTGTGCTTGAGTAGAGTAGGTACATAAGTGCATAGTTAATCAGTCTGTTATTACTGGATTTAAATAATGGTGGAGTCATATATAGCACTGATATTTGTTTGTTTTTTGTTTTTGTATTTTTTAAAAACATTTTTCATAATCTTATCATAAAAACAAGCATTGTTAATAAATGCCATTGTCATAGCACCACTGAACAATGCATTCTGTCGTGGATGTTGGCGCTATATAAATCCTTGTTGATTGATTGATTGTCTGTCAACATTAGCACTCTTGGCCTATTCTGACCCTGTTCATTTAATACATTATCCATGTCGTACACAATGTGCAACCTTCCACGCTCCCTGATGAATATTCCTAATCACACAGCCAGCTCATCATCGGACCAATTTCATTTTAAATCATTCGCATCCTACGAGATACCTATTTATACTCCTTGGTAAACAGATTCACATGTACATAAAGTGTCAAACCCAAGCACATAAGCATTATGACCATCTCTGTCTCGAACTTGCGACCTTTTGATTGAATGGCCAAACTCCTACGCCACATGTTTTCACCTAATTCATTTTCTATCCAGTTGGGTCTCATTTTCTTCCCAATTTCATTTACTTATTTCACTAATAATAATAGAAAGCCATAGTAAAATATTTGGGTCGTTGACCTAGATGTCCAGAATACTGTAGTTGTTGGCACATGCTCAAATGGGTTTCTGGGGTAATGTATTTTCATGCCAAGTATTAGTTTGTCTTGATGAGACAACAGAAGTTTTATCAGAAAGAATACTTTAGCAGTCACAGCTTGTCATTATTGTCAATTTATTATTGTTGTTATCTTTTTTTATTTTATTACAGTATTTGTATTAGAAGATTAATAATTAGAGAATATTAGAATACAATGCATACAGTGATACTCTATTATTCTTAATCATAAATACACCACTGAACAGAAATTGATCGATTAATTAATTATTTGGTTGATTAAAAATATACTATATGTGTTTATATAAAACTTAATTAATTATTTAAATTGCTTATTTTGTTTATTTAATTACTGTATGTTATTAACCTGTTGAAATTTAAACAAGACAAATTAACAGAGTTAAAAATAATCGGCTCATATAGTGTGTGATATGATGTCAGCATGTCCATATATGGGTATGGTCAAAGACATTAGAAGCACAAGATAAACTCTCCACAGAAAAAAAACTATCACCGAATTGCATGACGGATGCTGTACTAACGTAAGTTTATTTTCCTCCAGGCATACGCAGTGCCCAATTTAATGAGGCACTGTGTACATCTGGTCTGGATATAAACTTACATAAATTCCATTATTTGGAATAGAAGGGCCCCGCATACGTCTGGATCTGAAAAGAGATATGACATACATCCGCTTCACTTTTGCTATGTGAGAGTTTTATTTTGTGTTTTCTAGTATCTTTGGTATAATAGGATGTCATCATGCTCATATATGACAGTGATATGATGTCATCATATCCATATGTGAGTGTGATATGATGTCATTATGTCCATATATGGGTGGTATATGATGTCTTCATGGCCATATATGGGTGTGATATCACAACATCATGCCAGTATATGGGCAAGTCACATTAGTGTTAAAGGTTGATAGAGCGCAGTGTAATTTCCAGATATATATTTATTAATAAATGTTAATTGTAAACTTGCAGCATGGAGCTGATCCTCACAAGAAGAATCGTGATGGTAACACGCCATTAGATTTGGTGAAAGAAGGGGATCAAGATGTCGCTGATCTTTTGCGAGGGGATGCTGCCCTCATTGAGGCAGCCAAAAAAGGCAACCTTGCACGAGTCCAGAAGCTTGTGACGCCGGAGAATATTAACTGCCGAGATTCTCAAGGAAGGAACTCTACGCCACTCCACCTTGCAGGTAAAAAAAACTTCATGCCCATACATTTTACAAAACGTAATGTGTATGTATGCATAAGTAGTTTGGTGATGTTGTAAATATATTTATTATCGCTTTTACATCAGGCCTTGAATTTTACGGCAGCCATTGCCGATGGTGCGCTCCCAGTTAGCCTTGGTGCCCCTGAAAATGAAGCACGTCGACGGCCACTACTTGATTAACACTCAGCTAGTCTAGTTGATGAAGGCTAGTTTAGAGGTGTGGCCTCCTATAACGACACGCTTTGAGCAACAACATCATATATTGATCTTCTTGAACTTTGACTGTTTTGTTTACGATCGCCAATCCCCCAAAAAACTAAAAGTATTTTCCAACATTGAATTGATAATAGTTAATACTCTAAACAAAGTCATTTTACCATTGACAACAATGGCTTGGATAGGCCTAGCTTGTCTAGACCTAGCCTGGCTACAAATAAAGGCACTCGCTAGAGATTGGTACTGAGGCTAAATCAAATTTTGCCTTGGGTGCCTTTTTATATTTGAAATTTTGGCCTTGGTGCCTTTCCATTTGGCCTTGGTGCCTTTTAATCATGTCATACCGGAGGCCATTTGGCCTTGCCCATAAAATCCCCAAATTCAAGGCCTGTTACATATCTGTTTTTTATTTCTTATTTTTTTAGATGTTATTATTTTTACTATATTGACTTTGCATAGCCTTATTCTTTATTTCCCACATTTTTTTGCATTAGTATTCTGTTCTTTGAATATTGTTTATTAGGGTTGTTTATTTCTGAAGACTAGTAGTTTTTTTGTCCACCATATTTTGTCCACCACATTTGCATACTTTTATTTTCTCATTCCCTCACAGCTGGTTACAATAATGTTGAAGTTGCAGAGTACTTACTTGAGAGTGGTGCAGATGTCAATGCACAAGACAAAGGAGGACTTATACCACTACATAATGCCTCTTCTTATGGGGTAAGAACAAAAATAGTGTGAGATTAAAATAATACTGTGCCATGAGATATGAAATGAATAAGTTCATGATATGTAAAATAATATTAAATTATTATAGTTGTTATAAGAAAGGATGAGATTCAATAAGAATAATTGTTCCTAGTGTGTATACTACAGTATGACATGTTAATGTTGGTTTCTAATATATTTTCCAGCATGTTGACATTGCAGCTTTACTCATCAAGCACAAAACATGCGTGAATACGCAGGATCGTTGGAATTTCACGCCGTTACACGAAGCTGCTCAGAAAGGTAGAACGCAGCTGTGCGCTTTACTGGTGAGTGGTCTCTAGAGTTGATTCTCATCCATACATAATCAAGACTAATATTAATTATGTTGGTCTTTAGTGCCTTTTGTAAGGGCCTCTATGTACTTTACATTGCCCTAGTCATGTATCAAATACCTACAGAACACATGCTTGGCTCCTTAGTGTAAGATATATTGTGTTGCAGCTACTAAATGCAGTGGTATTCAAAACTACCAGCTTCCATTTATGCTCCTGGATGGAGATAAACATCAAAGATAGAGTACCTTGCCCAAAGCACACAAACAAATCACCTTGACCTTTCTACTGGAAGCCTAAAACCTTGCTAATGTGCCACATATGATCTTGTTCCACAATGTTTGTTATATTTCATTGTAATTGTTATTATCTAGATGGAATGGACAGATCTGGAGATCGTGCAACTTGAACAACTTGCGATTTTTTTCACACGTACTGAGTGTTCAGTACATTTTCACGTCAGGTTGGACAAAATTACACCTATACATCTTACATTTAAGATATTTTTTATATTTCCATTAGCTTGCCCACGGTGCAGACCCAACCATGAAGAATCAAGAAGGCCAGGCACCATTAGATTTGACAACGGCTGAGGATGTCAGAGCTCTACTACTGGATGCCATGCCACCAATGACTGCTACCACCAGTGCAACCAAGACATCCCCGTCCATCAACAGTTCCTTACGAGGACCAACTGCTGGAACAGCATCAGGTGGCAGTTCAAATTACCCGATGGCTATTGGAGGCGTGGCAGGTTCCGGAGATGGAATGGCAGAGAGGAAACCAACTGAGGGCGCTTCACCTCTTGATATGAATATCGGCACGTTTTTGAGGTCAATTCAACTGGATTCACTTAGAGATATATTTGAAAGAGAGCAGGTACATTAGTTTGTAAAATTTATATTCTGTTTACCGCAGTTCATAAATGTATTTAACAACTAAAGTACTAACAAAGCAAATCAGAGTTGTGTATCTTTACTCTACTAGTTGGCTGTTGTGTAAAAGGAGCTCCATAAAAGGCCTAGTATATAAATTGCATCCATAAATAATACTAATGTTTTAATGATAATTAGTTTTTTTAAAAACCGAGAATTAACCTAGCCTAGCTAGAAAGGGCGAAGTAGAGTAGTTGCTTTTCAAATATAATACAGCATTGTGTTGTACGCATTTAAATTTGTTTTCATCCGATGGAGATTGACTGTCTTTGAAACTTTGATATTAAAGTTGAGCGCGCAATTTAAGATGATACTATGATCGTTTGAATCGACAGTAGCCGTTGTGTACAGTACCAATACAAAAGTCTATTTCTGACATTGTAGTCAGCGCTCTAGTATTATAATAACTCAATGCAGCAGACATTAATAACATCTTATAGATTAACTGTGCATGCCTATGTTGAAGGTCAGTACATATAAACAAACATTTAAATGACTTATGCACCAATTTCTGAATTTTTTGCAGTTGATGGTGTATAGTACATTTGTTTTTCCTGTTGTGCTTTGTTGTCGCCTTGCATTAATACAGCCATATTGTAGTATTATGTAATTATTATTATTATTATTAATGTATTATTATGTATTATTGTATTATTAATACAATAATACATAATAATACATTATTATGTATTATTATGTATTATTGTATTATTGTATTAATAATACAATAATACATAATAATATTATTAATACAGCCATATTGTATTATTATGTTCATCCTTAAAATAATTTTTATTATTATTTCTATTGTTATTATATCATCATTATTGTCATCATTAATTATATCAGATCACGATGGATATTCTTGTGGACATGGGCCACGAAGAACTGAAGGAGGTAGGCATCAACGCCTACGGACATCGACACAAGATTATCAAAGGAGTTGAGCGAGTCGTTGGTGGTAACATTGGGCCTAACCCTCACCTGAACATTGCGCCAAGTCAAGGCACTGTACTCATTGATCTGCTACCACCTGACAAGGAGTATCAGTCTGTTGAAAATGGGGTTAGTATTTTGGAAGGGGTGGTATACTGGGAAGGGGTATTTTTAAATATATATTTTTTTTAACCTAAGTGTGTAATGGATGTGTGGAATTGCTCATTTTATAGGATCAAATATACATCTTCCAGTGAGACAAATTGGGTTTTTGTTTAAAAAATCATTTAAGTGGATACCAGCCAATTTATGAAATTATTTATTCATCTGTTAATTAGCAAGAAAAATATTGTTCTTATTGTAATTTTCAATTGAAAGTTAATAACAGAAATAAAAACTTAAAAAATTATATTTTTATTATGATACGCATCAAACACTCCTTTTCACATAATTAATATTTTTATCTTCAATATCATGAATCATCATCATTCTTTCCATTATCACCACCATTTTCATTATAATCACATTTATTATTGTCTTCATATCTTCAACATTAGTAGCTACTGTACTAAACGTCTCATGTTAACTTGATTCCTAGATGCAAGCTACTGTTCGAGAACATCGTGACCAAGGACATGCTGGGGGTGTGTTCACATGTTACAACATTATAAAAATACAGAAGATTAAAAATAAAAGACTAAGTGAACGATATGCTCACAGGCGGAAAGAAGCGGCAGATGAGAATTACAACCAAGACAACGAACGAATGCTGTGGCATGGTAAGTCTTGTCATTCTCATATGTAAGTTTATTTTAATGATGTGTTAAATGAATGTGCACAATTTTTTATGAAATTTGCCTGGTGTAGAATTAGGTGCACTACTATAAATACTGCGGATACAGTTAAGGAGGTTTCTCATGTTGTATTGCGGTTTATTTATTCAGTAAAAGGTTTGGTTTCCCAACCTTGAGGTCAGGGTTTCAATCCCTCACTGTGCATTTTGCTTGTGTCCTTGAGCAAGGCATTGCTTCTCTCCACCCAGGAGTATAAGGTACCTGAGGAGGTTCATGTGCAAAATGCACCGATAATTTCATGCAGCAAATTATGGAATTTTTCGCCTAAGCATCGTTCCAATGACTGGGGTAATAATGTGGAAAAGCGCTTTGAGACTTAGTTGTGTAGAGTGCTATATAAAAACCTACATATTATTATTATTTATTATTATGACTAGAAATACTCACCAAGAACCTGATCACACACGATTTTCTTTTGGCCTGATGCAGCTATTTGCTTGTGTTAAACTCATTTAAATATGTTGTTATTCTCCTTGTCTAGGGTCACCTTTTATCAATGCTATTATCAACAAGGGTTTTGATGAAAGGCATGCATACATAGGGGGCATGTTTGGAGCTGGAATCTACTTTGCTGAAGATTCCTCCAAGAGTAACCAGTATGTGTATGGTATTGGTGGTGGAACCGGTTGTCCTGTTCACAAAGACAGGTCTTGTTATATATGTCACAGGTATGTTGATGTCAATTTTTATGTATTTTCAGTTACTAAGACGAGACATTTTTTTAAACCTTGTTTAGCGAATCCACCGCCCACCAAAAATGATAATTTTGAATGCAAACAGAATTTTATTTTTGGCCAATTAGCGCATGTTTAACGAAGAAGTAATAAACGCTAGAATGTTGCTCTGTTTTTGACGAGTATAGTCATCTCTAGCACCCTGTTAGGGACATGGGCAGGTCACATCAGCTGAAGATTAGACAACAGATGGAGTACAATTATACTGGCAGTTTAAACACTAATGGACAGTATAGGAAACAGGACAACAGCGAAAACGATGGAGAGACGAAATACAACAATATTGGTGATAAGCCCATTGGTATCAGAGAGTGAGAGATCGAGACCTCTGGAAGTGACATGCTAAGGCTTTCGTCTAGCAGTGGACCACACATGAATTAATATGATGATGATAAAGTTAGATAAATTAGGCCAGCTGACATAAACATAGCAGACTCTCAACCAGTTCAATAATAATAAACATTTATTTCTGATCAATATATTTAATATATTCATTTTACCATTTTTCATTTTACCATTTTTCATTTTCAGGCAGTTGCTGTTCTGTCGAGTTACGTTAGGAAAAGCGTTCCTGCAATTTAGTGCAATGAAAATGGCTCATGCCCCACCTGGCCACCACTCTGTAATAGGACGGCCCAGCAGTGGCGGACTTAATTATGCAGAATATGTCATCTATAGGGGAGAGCAGGTGAGGGGTTTTTTTGTTGTAGTAGTAATGATGTTGGTTCTATTCAGTGCATAATGCCAATGACTTCAGATTACGTAGGGGTCCCAAGTCTCCCGGACACTGGGACGACCTCTCGCACTCTGCAAGCAAGCAAGAATCTCCCAGAAAATACACTATCTCCCAGAAATTCATAATATTTGCATGTTTTCACTGCTTTATGATCAAGTCAGAGCCAATAAGGTATCACTATTAGCAGCAAAAAAATATTAAATATTTTAGGAAAGCTGATTAACCAGATCAGTGGTAGCTTAAAGGGGAGGGAGGGCCAGCCAGTTCGGGCCCCTAATTTTTTTGAAAATTGAAATTTAAAAAAATGGAGAAAAGAAGAAAATTATTTTCAAATTTAAGTCTGACAGTGTCATTTCCAGCCATCTAGAGGTGCCGTTATCATAAATTTTCTTACCGTAGCACTAACCATAGTAGGGCTGAGGTGCTCTAGACCCTCCATGTGTGAAAGCTCTTCCCTGATCCCCTCTATTTCGAATTCCTGGATCCACAACTGCAGATCTCCCGGAATTGACTTCTTCCATCTTGGAGCCCCTGGATTACATATTACATGAAGTTGCAGCTCAGTAAATTGGCATTTTCACCTACCACAAAACCATTTACAATTCCCCAATATTGTTTTTGCATGGACTGATGAGGGCAGTATTGTAGTTGAATTTGAATGTGGTTTGTTGAAAGGACAGGGCTACTGTTTAATCACATAGTGGAAATTATACACTTGTACACTTATAACATACAAAATATAACCTTTGTGAAAGTTTTTAGAAAAGTGGGGAATATTAAAAGCGTTTAAAGACTGTGCTGTATTTAGTCGAAACATATTAATGTAGTAATTGTTATTTACATAAATTAAGATTGTTACTGTATGTTATTTTTTTTTACTATTTTTATTTTTTTTTTTGAATTTTTTTTTTTGAATTTTTGTTGTTATTTTATTATTGTATTATTATATTGATGATTTTGTTTTGCAGGCATATCCAGAGTACCTGATAACATACCAAATTGTGAAACCAGACACACTACCAACTCCAACCCCAACACCTTGATTCCATCACACTCTGTTAATGAATTCCAACAAGATCATTCATGTTTGAACATCCGAACACCTACAGCTTGAATTAGGACAATATGGAAAACTTATACTGCCAGTCAATAGACACACCCCAACCACCCCCCCCCCCTTCTCTTGCCTGATGTATCCTGACTTTCAATTTCTAAAATATTGCTAACCGTACATGTATGCAATATTGATGTCTGGATACACATACCACTGCCCAGTAAGCGAATGTAAAAGTAGTGTACTTCTGAAGAATCCATTGAGCACTCATTTTCACAAATTTTGCATTGATATAACTGGTGTGATTACCTGCATTGCCATATTCTGTGTATTAAAAACAATTCATTCTCTTTTTTTATCTTCCTCTACTTTTCAATCTGTTGTGCTCTAGTTATTCTTCTATTAAATTTCTTTTAAAAAATTTCCTTAAATTTATTTATATAATATCTATTACTTGTATGTAGTTATTGTTAAATATCTATCATTGTTCTTTTATTGATGTAACTAACTGTGTTATCTTTCACCTTATCTCATTAATACCATTTTTTAATAATAATAAGCATTTTAAATGCTGTAAGTTTGTAACTTTAAATGTTCCCTACATTTATTATTCTACTATGATCAATAGTGTAAAATACTTCCATGATTTCTTAAAATGAAATACTCTATTTAGTATTTTTTGTAAATTTAGTTAGAATTTGCAAATTAATTGCAGATTTTAAAAGTTAATTGTTCTGGTATTTTGTTATTTTAAGCAAAAAAGTACATGCCAACGTTGTGCAATAGTAAGCTAGGGTTTTTACTTTAGTATTTACCTATCTTAAAACCAGTGTACTTAAAAGCAATCTGCTTAGGCCAGCTCTCGCAACACTTTGGCCTAAGAGGTTGCTCGAGTACACTGTGTTTTACTTTTCTTTTCCGTGTGTATTGTGTAGCCATGTTAAATAATGATTTTTTTTTTTAATAATACGTACATCCCATCTGTTAACACTATTAAAGTTTAATAGTGAAAAATTAAATAAAATATTATGATCATAAATTTATATATATTTTAATGTGCCGTCACAATGTGTGTACAGTTGCGAAAGGTTTAAGCAAACCAATGATTTATTTATATAGCTTAGCAAACAATAATTTTTTTAGTTTTACTCAAACGAACAAATTTTTAAAAAGAAATTATTGATTGTATATTAAGTAGCCAAAGACCATTATTTGTATTTTTGTTTAAATAATAATTCATATTGAAAAAGAAATTAAAGAGATTGACTTCTAAAATGAAATTTAAAATCATTTTTTCTTAGATTTGAAGTCTTAGATCTGTACCAGTTTATTTACTATATTATTGAATGTTTTTGTTTTGTAAGTGGGTAATTGTTTATTTATAAAAAACAATAGTCAATCGCAGGTAAAAAATAATCTAGTAATTTATGTGTTATGTATGTAAAATCAGTTGACCTCATAATTGTCATGTCACATATCATTTGCATAATCATGTTTATTGATATTGTCCTGTGCATCCATGTGCCATTATACAATGCAACTCTAAATATAGTAAACTATAGTTATTATTTCAAGCTGTTCATGTATCAGAATTATGAGTATTGAAATTAAGTGATAATGATTAGCTGCTGGGTTCCTCCTTACCCATCATGGGTGTTCAGAGCTGAATACTTAGTCAATTAATTAAATTATTCCATAGATTATTATTAGTTTTTAAGTTATTTGATAAAATTATAGTGATTATTTTATGAAATGCAACCATGATTTTAGATCCATTGACCACTTTTGCCTTGCGTTAATAGAATTTAATTTTGGCTGAAAATCAACACCAAGCATTAAAACAAGCTGTAAGCATGTATTGTTGTACATATTTGTATAGCTTATGTTTTTAGATGTTTATTTTCAATAAGACCACATTGAAACTAAATCGGTTGCTTGACACTGTTTTATTTTCATAAATAAAATTTTAATGTACGACAGCCTGTAACTATAAAAGCCAGATATTAGGGCCAAGTAGACCATGTTAAAAAAAAGGGGTTCAGTCTAACTATAGAACCCCCACCCCCAGGTAATTGCCTGTATGACTTTAATTCTATCAGTACCCTAGGCTACATAACCTGTTCTTTTATAAAGTGTTACAACCATTTTTTTTTAAATATTAAAGTACATGCATATGATATTCAGTTTCCAATGCTTGTTGTTTTTGTTTTATTTTTTAACTAAGATCTTAGCATTTGTGTTCTTTAGGACCATTACAAACAATGCTGATGATACTGTACAATTACAACAGAGCTTCTTGTGTAGTTTTAATGGTGTGGCATGTAATACAGTCTACCATAGTTACAAAATAATATAGTGAATGAAACACAGCTATTTCTCTCTGTTTCGGACTAATTATGTTTCTAAATAACCATCAACGCTATATTGTTGGTTAAACACACTTTAGTAGCATTATACAGCAAACACCACACATCAAAGTACATGACTAAGGCTAATAAATCAGCAAATTTCTGTACTAGAGACTACTTGCTACATCAATAATTGTTTATTGCATACTCATTGGTGCTTGTTGGCTCTTGTTGATGCAAATTAGTATGCTCGTTTTTTGGTGACCGGTATTTGGGACTCCTTTATGGATAGCCTGCGTGGATATTGCTCCGACATCATATCCCTATGGGTCCGCTTGATGACAAGCTTTGGGACCCCAGTGGATCGGGGGCCCAGTGGACTGCCGCAGGAGAGCACAGAGGTGCAAGCGAGTGACCGAGAGGGTGTTTTTATTTTGGTCATGTTGTCCGTTTCTTTATTGTAACTGCTGCTTGCTGTCTGATGTTTCAACTTAGGCTTATCTTCCTGTACAGTATTTCTATTTTCTTCATCTGTAGTATTTAGCTTGTTTTTGAAAACAAAAACTAAATCAGCTTCATTTACGATAAAAACGGCGTAATGCACAGTATTTAATTTGGCCCCAAAATCTCCTATCATGCAGCTCCATTTTTCACCAAATAAACTTTGTAATCGATTCACAATAAATTTACATTTTGCCATTCTGTCTTCGCTTAATGGCAGTTTCTGAACTTCTAATTCGAACGCTTCTTTCACTGCACTTTCCATGTGTTTCAAGACAGCTGGCGAAATATCTTTACGAGTCATATTGCGTACATGAATCAATGATTCTGGAACTGAGAACAAAAAAATAACCATCAATATTAATTTAATAGGCAATTGTTTGATTGATAGTACCTGTACACTATGTATTCATTTTTTTTTCCTGCAACTAGTGTGATAACATTAACATAACATATTTAAAGTAGTAATATCCTGAGCTCTCTTTTTCAGTTTTAATCACCTAAATGCATCTTCTATGTTGCTCTGGGGTGATGCAGTATCTGGCGGTAGGGGGTGCGTGAGAGAATTTTCAGAATATGGACTTCTAGGTGCTTGGAAACTGCACCCCCATACCTTAAACAGTTTACCGGTAATTCATATCAACAATACAATACAATTATTATTTTTCTTATTACAATTTAGGGGGTGCGATCACATAGTCTGCCCCTCAAAAATTCAAACCCCAGTTGCTACTGTATTTCTTATGAAGAAAGAAAATATTGAGGAAGCTATGTCATGTTTTAAATTTGACATATGCTCATAGTTTGTTTTGTTTAAAAAGCCTTTATGGCCCAATAAAAAAACTACTTGTTTAGCATCACATCTCAACAAAATTTTAGGAGGGGAGGTTTTGGTTTTTTTTTTTTTCATTTCAATCTATAGGCCTACAGTAAATCTATGAATCTGTGTTGGATTAGATGCTACTTAGCAGTGCCCTGCTTAGGCAAAACCTTGACTGCATAGGCTACAAACTTGCACATTCCCAGTGATCCTATATTAACACTTTTCAACATCAAAACAAAAAATTGTTCCAAAAATTTAATATTTTCAATGTCATTCAAAGTGTTAAAATTCATATTCAATAGGCCTACAAACAACTAAAATAAATTAAAATACTACAACCTGGTTGGGGAAATCAATTCACTTAAATAGGCCTACAATTATTTTGATTAGATTTTCTGAGCAATATTCATTTTTTTTAAATTAAAAAAAAAATTCCTGCTTCTAAATTTTTTATTTTGCTCGAAAATTCAGATGGGGTGGCGACATTAACAAGTATATTTTTTTATTGGCCTATTAATCTAGACTTTTTGTGTATTTTGTATCATGATTGTGAATATCAATAAAAGTCTGGGGCAGATGCAGGATTTGGTGGTACGGGGTGCATGAGAGTCCACATCACCTCAGCCACACCATGGTTGAAGCTGAGGGTATTTTGAAAATATGCACCTCTAGGTGCACGGATTGCACTGTACCTTGAAAATCTTACTGGTACTATATCAAAAATGCAATACAAACATTTTTCTTAATCAATTTAGGGGGTGCAATCGCACCATCTGCACCCCCGTGCATCCACCCCAGAAAGTTATTGGATTGGATAATTGTCATTTTGTCCATCTCTTACCAATACTAGTATTCATTGTGTGAACTTTTCCAATCCGCTTAATATCAGTTTGCAAGCGTTTGACAGCTAGTAAATTAGGTGTAAATCTCAACGAACATGCCTGCGATTGATCAGGCAGGATCGGAGGCAGTTTGTCAAGAACTTCTTTATGGATCTTTCCAATAGCAACACGTGCTTTGAAAACCTCATGATCGTCTGAGTGTTCCAAGGACCTCCTTACTGTTTCCACCTTAGTTTCATATTCTTTCATTTGATGAGTTATTGCTACATTTTCTGTTCTCACAGTGTTGAGTTTTGCTGTATGTTCATTTATTATTGAATTCATTAACCATTTTTTCTTTTCCTCCAGAGTCTTAATGACTTGGCCTGTACATTTTTGTAATGATGCCTTTGCATTAGCTGCATCTGCATTGATACGTACAGCAATTTGGTTTTTTTGGTTTTCTGCTTTTTTCCAATGTACCAAATGAAAGTCAATTTCTTTTATCATCTTCTGTATTCCTTTGCGCATTGATTCTGCCTCAGTTTTAATATACAGCGATGTATGTTTCTTATCATGCGTCAGAGCCAAGCAATCTCCACATACGTACTCATTGCAATCAATGCAAAAGAAATTTGTTTGCACTTTATGCTCTGGACATTGTCGATCTGATGTCTGGCATTTTAGCTCCTTTACCTGTTTTTTATTTATCCAATCAATTACATTTGTCACCTGAAAAGCTAACGGAAGGCTATCTACAGACACAGCGTTGTCCAGGACCGTTTCATCGCGGCAATTCGGGCAAGTGATTCGGCCTTCTGGTTTCACCAATTTCACAAGACAATTTTTACAGAATGTGTGATTGCATCGTAGCTGTTTGAACACATTTTTGGTGTCGTCGTCTCCGGGAACTTCGAAACAAAGTTCACACTTCAATGCGTCTTCTTTTAGCTGTTCCAAGACGGAATATGCCATGTTTTTGAGATATAAAAATATGAATTACTCAACTTAAGACTACTACTGTGCAAAAGATGGCCTACTATACGATCTTTGGCCTATACCTCGCCTGTGCGCGATTTTTTTTCCGTACGAAACATTTACATGAAACTCCACTCGGGCCGTCTCGGCTGAATCGACCCGAAAATCTCATTGCAGAATTCAGGAGGTCAAAAGGTCATCAACAGATAAACGTCTACAGAACAACTTCTGAGAGAACGTCGCTGTCTAATTTTTAAAAATACATTGATGTAACCATGTAATTACCAATGGGTCGTTTAAAATGACATATAATATTTGATTAAGCTGCAGGAGTAATGAAAAGTGTTATTTTAACTTGAGTTACATACTATGACAATTTTAATTTTTTAGTTAGGCCTGGGTTTTGCATAATTACCTAGGCCTACTAAAAACGCTTTCTGGGAAAAGCACAAAGAGTAAGGAAAAGCGCGTTTTTCTTCATCTGATCAAATGAAACAGAATGACAGTTAATTTCAAATTAAGAGAAGAGCTGAGAATAGGCAGCTCTAAAATACTGGATGCCATAAGACCTGCTAAAATGGCAAAACATCAAATGAATGTAAAAATGAGCTAGTTATTAATATTAGGCATAGTAATCGGCAGGTTCTTCATTACAAGGCTAGACCAAGTTAATTTTAATGCCGAAATGATAATAATAATAATAATAATAATTATTATTATTATTATTATTATTATTATTATTATTATTACCTGTACGTTAAGGGGAACTTAGACAAAGGGGAAATAACACAAAAATTATTCCCCTTGGGCTAGTTATTATTTATAGGACTAGTAAATAGTATCTGTAGGTTCTTCATTTCAAGCCTTAGGCCAAGGTAATTAATGCTGAAATGATTATTATTATTATTATTAATTATTATTATTACCTGTACTTTAAGGGGAACTTAGACAATGGGGGAATTAGAGAACAATTAAAAAACGACGTTAAGGGGAAATAACACAAAAGATATTCCCCTTGGGCGATTATTATTTATAGGCCTAGTAAATAGTACAGTATCTGTAGGTTCTTCATTACAAGGCTTAGGCCAAGGATAATTAATGCTGATATTATTATTATTATCATTATTATTATTATTATTATTATTATTATTATTATAAAAAAAATACTTATAATGGTCACATTATTAAGAAGACACAACAATAATTGTTACTTAACCAATATCCTGAGGCGCGTGGAACGGAGAGAGTAGAGAAAACAGTAGAACTTATACATACTGTTTGTGGTGCTGAACTAATAATAATAATTCAAATAATAAAACATTAAATAGTTAAACCGTTATTAAATTTTTAATTATTGGTCATGTTGTAACTTCAGCCGTTGTCTTTCAAACCATTTAAATTATCGTAGCAAAAAGTATAAAAACTAACTTGTGTTTTTAATGAAAGTTAATCACTTGTAAATTATAAATGCTTGAAAATGTGTAGTTCAATGGTTTGATTGAATGTGTGTGGAATGGGAATTGAATATATGGCGTAGACCTATGTTTAAGAAAAAAATACAAAGTATAGGCCTATGTAGGCCTAAAAAAAAACAAAGGTTACTTTGTATTTGGTCACGGAGGGCTATATCTGAGGATTTTTCAAATGAAAGATAGGGGGTAGCTAGCTACCCTATTCTCCCTTCTCCCTCCATGACTGGATCCGCCAATGATCGCGCACACAGCAAATCTATTATATTATAGATGTATCGAGTTTAAGTGGATGGTGGCTCGTTTATTGCTCGTCCCGGTAGAGTCGGTGTCAGTATCAGATTGACTGCAATACAATAAACTCCTACTTGTTTAACTTTGTATACCACAAATTGTAGTTGTGGTCAGCGAATGTCCTTATAATTATCTAAAAGTATTTACACTGAAGAGTTATCCTTTACCACAAACCACAGAAAGCCGTTGAGTTCAGCCAGACTAACATTCATATAAGCTTATTTGGAATATGAACTGGAATCTGGGGAATTCATGTTGCAATATCGCACATGATCTTAAATCGGCTAATACTATACAATTTAATTTTGTTTTTAGTGTATTTTAATATTTAAAGGCCTGGTCATCTCCAATGAGTATGGACTATTCCATTGTTAATCATGCCGTGTTGCCCTTGTCGTCCGCAAAAAAATTAACACAACAATTAAGTTTGCTTTTCGTTTATCCTGTCACCGACAGTAGGGATGCTTTGGTTTTATTTTGTTTTTGTAATTGCTTGAAAAATAAATAAAATGAAATGAAAAAATACTGTTTGCTCTCCTTATTCCTACAGATGGTATGTTTATTCATCATGAGAAAAGAACTTTTCACAAATTATTGCCCTGGAATGGGAAAAGGAAACCGAATAATTAACGAAGTAAGCAACGATCAAACAAAATTGAACTTAAGAAAAACCAACATACTTTTTAATGTGATTACAGGATATACATATCGTATGTAGATTTCTGTTGCATATCAAGTCATATTAATAGTGATTCTATGTTTAGAATTATCAAATTGTAGGCCTAGGCCTAAGTAGACCAAGTCCCGTTGCAAGTGTCAGCTGTCTCTTATACA